GGAAAGGATGGGACTCAGCTCTTGCGCCATTGTGTTCGTCTACTTGTACTTGTTTCAACTGATTTAGTTGCTGTACGCTTATCTGGTATAGCCCTCTCTGTCATACATTTTTTTAATGCTGTCCTACCTACAATTTTAGTGTATATTGTTTGGTGACTATCTCACTCTGTTTGATACCATCTTCTGCTATAGTTTTTATGCGTCTAATTTCTTTTATTTCAGTAACTTTTTTGTTTGTTGCTGATTTTGCATAGGCGTTGGGAAAACTGTAAAAGAAAAAGTGTGTGTGCATACGAGCCGTGATATACGTGCTATAGCAAGTCAGCTTGTAAATGTGTGGATAGAAATTTTTCGAAAGGAGAAGGCTTCTAATGGGCTAAAACTGTTGAGGCAATCAAATGTTGCTCACCCGCCAAAGAGCAAATCTAGTATTTCATCTGGAAGACCTCCTTTATGCACATCTATGGCACCTGAAAGTAAAAAGAGCTTGAGAATTCCAACCCCTGGTGGAAGCCAATTGCCATTGAATTCAAGCAATAGAAATGTGGAAGTCAAGCCAGCTAGGTTGGAAGCTGCAGCTGACTCAAAATCAGATGTTGAACCACCAAGCTCTCAAGGTTCTGTAGGAAGGCGAAATGCCACGATTGATGGAAACCAGAATCTCCCTTTGTCTGACGAGGAAAAGAATGCTATTGCCGCCGCAGAAGCAGCTCGTGCTGCTGCTCGTGCAGCCGCCGAGGTTTGCCTTTCTTATTTTTCCTTTGGTGCATCTGTAAATCTTTTTGCGTTTTCTAACATACGAATTAAAATATTTAATGGATCAAGGATAAAAGTACATCTTCTAATGTCGTCAGCAAGTGTAGCTCACACTTGAAGTTCTGGCAGCAGAATTTGGATGCTGGCATGGACCTTCTGGATCGGGAGGTGTCTATTAGTGTTGTAGATTTATTGAATCTATGTTAAAGTAGAAATATTAAGGCTTGCATGCCTACAAATTGTTCTCAAAAGGCTCAAGTAGGAATATGAATATATGATTGCTTTGACTGCCATATTTTATGAGAATGCTCTTTTACCTTGTAAGCACTGTAACAAATGTAGGGAAACTACATTGAGACATGTTCTGATAATCATTCCCCTCACAGAGAATACATGTATTTACATGTACACAGAATCATAAATAGGTTCTACACCAGTGTTATCATGTCGAATCATGTCTGACCATATCTAACAACATTAGTCAATGTTTTATCTTAGTGTCAGATTTCTTATATGCAGCCAAGGGCATCTTACCTTTTATCAGTGTTCTTGCTGATCATAATTAATCATTTCAGGCATATGCTTCTTCTGGTGCCAAATATAGTACAACATTACCGCTTCCAAAGATACCATCATTTCACAAATTTGCTAGACGGGAACAATATCCACAAGTGGATGAATCTGATATTAGAAGGAATTGGTCTGGTGGTGCTATAGGAAAACAAGATTGCTTATCTGAAATAGATTCCCGGAACTGCAGAGTTCGGAATTGGTCTGTTGATTTCTCTGCAGCTGGTGTCAACCTTGATACTTCAAGAATGTCTTTTGACAATCGTTCACAGCATAGTCTTTCCAATGATAATGCATGCCAGTTCAACTTCAGAGAGCACTCTGGAGAAAGCGCTCCTGTAGACAGCAGCATATTAACTAGAGCATGGGTTGATAGTTCAGATAGTCTAGGAAAGGACTACAATGCAATTGAGATGTGGCAATGTCAGGCAGCAGCAGCTAATTTAGATTTCTATGGACAGGCATTGCAAGTGATGGATGAGGAGGAATCAAACATGAGTTCCAAAATACCTACAGAAAAGCATGACCTGCTGGCTATTGAGAGTTCTGCTTCACATGTTACAGTACCTAAAGCAATACACAATCAACCTAGAGGAGCAGAGAAAATTAAGCAGGCAATTGTTGATTATGTTGCATCTTTATTGATGCCTCTTTATAAAGCTAGAAAGATTGATAGGGAAGGTTATAAGTCCATAATGAAGAAAACTGTGACAAAGGTCAGTCCTGTTCTATATGTTGCTGCCACCACAGTCTAGATTTGTTTCTCATATATATTTTAATTTATTTTCCAAACATTTTTTTATTCAGGTTATGGAGCAAGCCACAGATGCAGAAAAGGCAATGGCAATGGATGAGTTTCTGGATTTCAAGCGTAAAAACAAGGTGCTGACACATTCCATCTTCCAATAAATAATGTGCCTCAGAATTATGTTTTCGTTCTAATGTACATGCTGGTAGAAGTTTAACGCTTTGCAGTCTTAAATGAGTTTGTGGGAGAGAGCATTGATGGGAGAGGTTGGGGAATCTTTTGAGTGCCTTTTTTGTTGGTGAAAAATTTGAAGTCCAGTTCCATAATTACATTTATATCAGCTTACTAATTCTGAATTCTGATCTAATTTATTGTAAAAATTCTCGTTTTTATGCTTATTGGCTTTTATTGCTAAACATGCAGATTCGCGCCTTTGTAGACACGCTAATAGAGAGGAATATGGCCAGGAACCAAGAAGCAAATTCTCGAGCAAACTGAGGGCCAATCTTAGTTTCAGTGCTTATGCAAGTGTGTAGGATGAAGACAATTTCTTCTATGCTCTATATGAGAGAAGTTTTTTCGTTCATAGATTGCAGCACAGTCCAACGTGATGGGTTTCATGGAACCTGCCAGTTTGTGTTAGTAGTCAGTAGCACTGATGATTTGTCTCAATGTATATATGCACACCAGGGAAATTGCAATCAGTGTAAGGAGCAAGTAACGAGGAACAGCTCTTTTGAGGCAAAGGCCCCATTCACCATCCGAGAGACCATGAAATATTTGAGACTCATTATCGATATCCTGTTAGGAATTTGGTGGGGTGATGCTTATCTTCCATTAGTCTTAGAATTTGTTGGTTAGGGTATTGAACCTAAATATTGTATGGTTTAGCTTTAGGACAAAAGGTGAAGAGCTCTGAGATTTTCTTTTTGAGAGATCACGATAGATTAAAACTGACTTTTTTCTGACTCATTTTGTTTTGAGATTTGTACAGCTTAGGACCATTATCATGACTTCAAATATACAAAAGATTATTCTTGGTCTCTCAAGTCTGCTTGTGTCACAAGCTGTCTTAATATCAAAGCGTACACATTTCTCTCTTATTCCTTTTAGCATTATTTTCCAGTTTATTCTCTCAGTGGCTTGTTAGACAACAATATCTCCTATGCACTTGAGAGAATAAGTGCTCTGAGCAAATAGTGGAAATGGGTGTTTAAACGAGTTTTGGAGGAAGAGACACCTACATGAGTGTATGATTGCTATCTTTTGTTTGTGGTTCAGTGGTATGATGCATAATCCCCTCGCTATAGTTTTTTCCACCCGCAACATAATCAAGAAATAAATAGTAAATGCAAATGATTGAGTGCAGAATTCTACAGATCTATTGCAATAGTATGCAAAATCTCAAGCGCAAGCTATAGTTGCTACCTGCTATTTGAAATATATTTGTTTGCAGGTGAAAATCACTTCTAATATGGTTTATTTTCAGCCTTTATCAGTGAGTTTTTTGGTTCTGCTTCTAGTTACTGTTTATTTAGCTAACTTTTCTCTAGAAACTGTGTGCTGGCATGATTTATAACTATGCAAAATTGTTATTAATGAATAAGGAAGCTGTTTTGAAAATTTATGTTAGCTGTTTAAATCTGATGTGAATACTGTGAGATGTATTATTTAGCAATAGACCTAATAAAATCAAGTAGGAAACAGACAATAAAACTATAACTGTTGAAAGTTTAGTGTTGGCGCAGCCTGAACCAAGCCTTTCCACACTGACCCATTCCCGGTGAAAGTGTAAATAGGTGTCGTGTAAAGAAACATTTAATTTTTTCTAGTCTGCTTGTTTCTTTTTGTCCTGTTTATTTGTAGGGTAAGGGGGCGCTGGAAAATGGGGTCTATGATGGGATGGAGTAAAAGGCAGATATGATGCTTATAGAATTATGACTTCTCATTTTGGTTCTATATATCAATTGTTCAACCTCAATATTTTCTGGATGCTGGCAACTGCTAGCAGTAAGAAATTGAAAGTGCTAATATGCTATTACTTTGACTATGTGCACAAAGGAATCCATAATAGCATACAGACAGCATTTAATACAACTACAAGAAAGCCAAAATAATCCCATCTCGTTGAGGTCCCGGGGGGGGGGGGGG